CCAGACCCAGCATGAAGGCATCGCACTGGGAGGAAGCGTTCCACTCACTTTGACGAGCCCTGGTTTGAAAGTCTAGTGCAGGTGAGTGTGCGCACACGATGGTATGTGTGGCAATACGATCAGAGTCTCTGAACCACGGAAACTCACAGGAGAGGAGGTGGTCGAATTCGCGCTGTGTAATTGTCGTGGGGAAACACCAAACAGCCCAGGAGAGAGGCAGACAGAAACCAGCAACGACGAAACCAAGCTCATGGTCGGGGACAGAAGGCTGAGGTGATATCCGGGCAAGAGACGAGTCGGGATGGTCAGAAGCAGGCAGGGTCGAAACAGGGAGCTCTGTCCGAACAACGCTGTAAGGTCTTGCATGAATACAATGAACAATCTGGCAACAAGTGACTGGTGAGGAGCAGTATATGAACTGGCTTAATTGGTGATCAGGAGCAGCTTGTGTGCACAGGTGAGCAGAGTGGCTGATGAGGAGGCGAGGCTGACTGGCAGACTGAAGCAGGGGCAGGTTAGAAGAACAGGTGAGGAGGAAGGCAGACTGTGACAAATAATAATTTGCATTTCTTTTTTTCCTTTGTTTAATGCCCTTGTTACCAATTCATCTACTCTCTCATTTCTATCCATTTTAATGCAAGCCAAACTTCCAACATCTCCACTATATAAGTGATGGCCTGTTCTTGTGTAATGTTTTGTGTTACACAAAGTCCTGAATGGAGGGCACGGTGGCACCAAGGATTTTCTCTACAGCTCTGACTGTATAGGGACAAGTATGTAGTATAAATAAATTCCACACGCCACAACATTTATAGACTTAGAAGATTTAATGCCCATCCCTAGATAAAAACTCAACAAATACACAAGAGACAGTATAAAACACAAATTCATACATATGTTGTATGTATATTAAAAACAGAACTCAGCAAGAACTACAGACAGAACAATACAGGACATAAACTAATAACAGGGAGGACCAGATCATTCATGGCTACATGACTGATCCTTCTTCAAAAACTGTTTAATTTAATGTATAATCTAGTTTGAGTTCTGTAGGTAAGGAATTCTACATTTTGATCCCTTGAACTGAAAAGGCTCTTTGTCCAAATGAGGATTTATGTAATGGCATCTTACAGTTCCCGTTAGATGTTTCACATGTTACTGAGCCCAAAGCTCTAAAATAATAATAAATATATATATATTGAAAACAACCAATCAGAGCCAAGAGACAGTCTTGCTGAGTCTCATTACAAGGGTGTCACAGACACATTTGGGACCCTGGGAATAATAGTATCTAAAAGCCTCAAAAACCCAGCCTGGTGGTTCATGTACTACTGTCCATGATATAATGAAAGTTTCAGACCAAATAATGAAAAAATAGTTTTTGTGATCTCACTGGTGCGATCTTAACCCCATTGGAAAACACATGCATCAATGTTTTCTGCTTTTGAGTGACAGCCAAACAGCTGCTGGTTGCAGACCACACCTGTCTTGTCTCTTTAAATGCAACAGCCTGACACCACACTGTCTGTGTGTCTCAGGTTACACAAATAACTGAGTTCTAGGCAAACAAGGCAGACAGGTTTCTGCGCATAGCAAAAGATCATTTTAAAAAATATCTTTTTGTGGGGACTGAATTGCTCTGGGAAATCTTTTGAAGAGCTGACGCTGATTTGTCTCGAAATGGATTTCTTACAACTGCCAGGTAAGTAACTGAGAAATTTAATGACACTATGCATGAGTAAAGGTTAAATATGAATGAACTGGTATGGTGCAATGAATGAAGCATTTATATGAACCGTATACTTCTAAACAGCATGTCCTTTATAATATACCTGAAATGAACTGATGGCTATAATGTCTTTGTTATCAAAATGTTGTTTAAATTGAATCATTTAAACTCCAGTCAGTCCTACAGTATCACTGGTGGTTCATTAAAACATTTTACCTCTATCCATTTAAATAATATGCAAAATGTTTACAAGATAATATTCCTGACCATTAATGGCCTTGATCTGCCCTTCATCGATGAATGGATTGATAAATAGATAGTACATTTTATGACGTAGGTGAGAAGATGACGAGATCATGACAGAGGTGTTGTTGATCATGTAGAAACTGTGGAATTGTTTGTTAGCATTGCTGCTAACAGTAGATGATGTATGAGTTTTTGTGTCCTTCCCCTCAGGAACTGGGCCCAGGATTTCTTGGTACTGTCTGTTGCACACCTGTAGTTTCCTCTGTAGTTCACTAGTTTAGGTGCTGGCTCTTTTTTTTGTACATCAAGAGAGTTGTCATGTGTTTGTTTATTATAATCTCTTTAGAGATCTCCCCTCGCTTATCTGTTTTCAATTGTTTACCAGCACCACTTGCCCATTCTGTTGTTGTATTTCTTTGTTAACTCTCTGTGTAATAAATAACCTTATACTACCAACACCATCTGGTTTATGGCTTCCCTTCCCCCTCTCCGAGCCGCGTCTAACATAGACACACCTATCACGACAGATGCCAGAAAACTAAACCCATGCCATTTGTTCTCTAGGCTGGATTCTGCAATCTCCTTATTACGGTTGCCCCCCAATACAGTCCATTAAGACGCTACATTCAATTCGAATGCTCACACGACTACTATGACTGCGTCATGGTCTGTTGACTCCTGCTAATACTATTATTATTCTTTTATTGCCATCGTCCCCATCTTGCCTGCGGTCGCGTCTCATCATCAGCTCATCATCACATTATTAGTGTTCATTTACCTCTCGTCTCCCCCCTTCCCCCTCTCCTCCTCTTGGGGAACGTTGTCTCTAATATGTTATAACGAGTACGTCTACGCCTGCTCTTTTGAAGTGAGACACCTTCGAATAGGCGCTGCCTACTTATTACACTCTGTCAGAATTATTAATTATTAG